AAAAAAAAAAGAAGACATTTTGATAGGCATTTATTTTTGTGTTTGAAGAGTATTATTTCTGCTTAGCTTCCTTAATAAACCATGTTTTAACTATTTTATACTTCTCGTTCCTTCTGTAGCAGAGGGGAAAGAGGGAGGGAATTTCCCAGAAATTACTGATTATATCTGACTGAATATTTTGAGTGCAAGTCAGTTTTTGCATTTTCATTAAGTCTCATGTGAAAAATGGTCACCTGGTGGTTGAATGAAGTTTTCTAGATAGGTTGTTTGTTCTAAATGGCAGAAAATTTAACCTATCTTGTAAGTTTTTTAAAGGCTATTTGAATAGGCAGTAATTTCATGTTCCAGTAAACTATTAGCGTGATGATGAAGGTTAACCAGTTAACTCTGGTTTTGCCTTCACTGTGAAAAATGGTTTTTAATTCATCTTATTTTTCTTTCTTGACAGAGCAAATTCGATTAAAGAATATCAGAAAAGTGTACGGAAGGTGTATGTGGTATCGTTTACGGTTATTAAAACCCCAGCCAAATATTATTCCTACAGTAAAGTAAGTAATGGATTTCAAGAAAAAAACCTACTTAATGCTTATTCTTTGCTAGGTCATACAAAATATATGTGTAATGATGAATAAGTTATTGTGTCTGTAAAGAAATTGTAATCTATAGTAAGGGTAAGATATGAGAAAATGTGGGAACAGTCTGAACAGATTGGTTTAGAAGTTCAAAGGAAGGAGAATGTGCTGTTGCTGGGGATCGGGGGTAGAGAGAGATAAGTCATATCTTGAAGGACCTTGTGCACCTTGTACCAGGATTTGAATTTTATCTTAAAGACTATGGGGAAATCTTTAAAAGATTTCAGAAGTAGGTGACATGAACAAGTTAGCATTTTATGGTGATAATTAAAGTTTATTGAGCACCTACTGTATGCTAGAATCTGTGCTAGGGCTTTATATGTTATCTAATTTAATTCTGTATTCACTTCAAAGTAGATGGTTTTGCTTTTTCTCAGATAAGGAAACTAAGGCTAAGAATAATGACATAACTTGACCAAAGTCATGTAGTTAGAAGTGTTGGATCAGGAACCTAATCACCCTTTATTTGAGCAGGCCCATCTGCTTAAACAGGCCATTAACATGTTTAGTTATAGCAGACCAGTTTAATTCTGTGAGGCTATGGGGTGTACTGGTTAAGAGCAAGGCTTTGGGCATTTATCCTGTGTCATCAGTTTAGAGGTAATAGATGAAACTGACAGGAGGTGAGAGAGTTACCCTTATTGGACTACTATGTCTTGTGAATTACCTACATTTATCCAGTAGGAAGAGAAGATGTAGCAAAAGAAATTAGTGAGAGTAGAATCAGTTATTTAAAAGTCTTGGTTTAAATGATAGTTTTTTCAGCATAATTTCAGGGGATTTAGTTTTTCTTTGTAAGGTTTAACTTTACCTAATTTAGTTTCTTTTTCTTTCTTTCTTTTTTTTTTTTTTTGAGACAGAATCTTGCTCTGTTGCCCAGGCTGGAGTGCAGTGGTGCCATCTTGGCTCACTGCAGCCTCAGCCTCCTGGGGCTCAGGCATCCTCCCACCTCAGCTTCCTGAGTAGGTGGGAGTACAGGTGTGTGCCACCATACCTGGTTAATTTTTTTTGTTTTTGTTTTTGTTTTTTTTTGAGGTGGAGTCTCGCTCTGTCGCCCAGGCTGGAGTGCAGTGGCCGGATTTCAACTCACTGCAAGCTCCGCCTCCCGGGTTTACACCATTCTCCTGCCTCAGCCTCCCTAGTAGCTGGGACTACAGGCGCCTGCCACGTCGCCCGGCTAGTTTTTTGTGTTTTTTTAGTAGAGACGGGGTTTCACCGTGTTAGCCAGGATAGTCTTGATCTCCTGACCTCGTGATCCGCCCGTCTCGGTCTCCCTGTATTTTTTTATAGGGATGGGGTTTCACCGTGTTGCCCAGGCTGTTTTTGAACTCCTGGGCTCAAGTGATCTGCCCGCCCTCGCCTCCAGAAGTGGTAGGATCACAGGTGTGAGCCACCCTGCATGAGCCACCCAGTTTAGTTTCTTAGTAGGAGGGGGGAAATTCTAGCTTTGGTGTTGAGTTCTTTAATGAGGTGAAACTAAAGGCAAAGTTAGTCTTGAGTAATTTTCTCTTCACTGTTTATTCTTTGCTGTTGGTTCTCATTTTAAATTAAATTTTCATAAAGCAGCAAGACAAAAAACACCCCCCCCCCCCCCC